CCCCCCCCCCCCCCCCCCCAGTTAAAGGTGTAGGTGGAAACTCTACATTAGATTTGGGCTGTTAACGTCAGTTCAGGTGAGATTGGCTATAGGAGTACCAATATGTCAGTGTGGTACCTTAATGAAAAATATGATGAATTTCTTTAGGTTGTGATTCCCAACATTTTTTGTCTGGGTGTACTTAGCTGCAGAGAAAGGATCTGGGGATAACATTAAGTGGCCTGCTGAACACTTAGCTTTTATATTGAGATGAGACTTCTGCAGTCTATATTAAAAAACATCTTCCTATTTTAAGCACTGTGGCTTTGAATGTCAATTTTTGCCATTAGGGAATTCATGAGTAATGTGATATCATTTCAAAACCAAGAGAATTCCAAAATCTCTTTTTTCTTCCTCAGAGCAATTGTCTGACCAGACCCAGCATCTACCTCATTCCAGACATTGATCTGAAGTTGGCTAACAAATTGAAAGATATCATCAAACGACATCAGGTAATAGACATGATCACTTTAGAAAAGTGTGTAGTAGTAAGCTTCTTATAAATCTCAATTATAACGTCTTTTAGTTTCTGTATATGTCTGCTTTAAATGAGTTATCTCTTTTTGGTTCTTACAGTACCAAGTTTTTTTCTCTTCCACTCACCTCTAATTCTTAGCCTAGACTAGCATTTTCCTATTTAACATTATTTAGGTACAGTTGACACATAACATTGTGGAAGTTTAAGGTGTACCATGTGGTGATTTGATGCACATGTATATCCAAGATTAGCATTTAATAGTCATTGGTATGGAGTTATTATAGTCTTATTGTGAAATGTGCTTATGTAATTTAAAGAGACTGTGGTCTGAATCACAAACAGAGTAGGAGTTGATGACACAGTTGTTGGTAGGATATCAAATATTGTTTCCAGTAAACCTGTCTTCCCTCATTGCCTGCCTCTTTGATATGTGTTGTATTTGTATATGCGAACTGGAAAATTCTGTTTTCCTCATAAGCTTACTTTGTTTTGATTCACACATACCAGTGCTATCTTCGGACATCTTTCTCTCCCTCCTTGAGCCTCATGTTAGGTTGAGACCTAGGGTATTTACTGCATGTAGGTTTGTGACTACACATGGCTGAACTGTAAGCAAACCCTTATCATGGTAAACTAGCTGAGGACAACCAGATGCTGTTTCCAAAACAACATTTGAGTGACAAAGTGTTACTAACCTTAGGGTTAGTTGAGAAGCCTCCTGAAATAATCTTTCTTCTTTCTGCTACAAGAAAGATTGCCAGTGGAATTATGTTTCAGTAATTAGTAAAATATCTTCTGAGTTCCTAAAGCAAGGATGTCTTTTTAAAAAATTTTTAAACATTTTTAAGGCTCTTGGTTCATATTGTCTATTCCAGGTTTTCTAATATTTATTAATTTTTGAGAGAGAGAGAGAGAGAGACCATGAGTAGGGGAGGAGCAGAGAGAGAGGGAGACAGAGAATCCAAAGGAGGCTCCAGGCTCTGAGCTGTCAGCACAGAGCCCGATGGGAGGCTTGAACTCACAAGCTGTGAGATCATGACCTGACCTAAAGTCAGACGCTTAACTGACTGAGCCACCCAGGCGCCCCTGAAGTAAGGATTTCTAATATTGCTTACATTTGGAGATTTACTATGGTCCTTACATATACTGACCCTACTGTCTCAAGTCTGGTTGCTCTTCTCACTTAACATTAGGATTTGGAACAAGTCACTTAATCTTCATTTCTCTTCTGGACTATTCATTGGAGTGGCTGTCAAATGTAGTTTATTTAAAAGTTTTATTTATTATTGAGAGAAAGCAACACACGAGTGAGCAGGGGAGTAGCAGAGAGAGAGAGAGGGGGTCAGGGGATTCAAAGTAGACTCTTCTGACAGCAGAGAGCCTGATGCAGGGTTTGAACTTACAAGCTGTGAAATCATGACCTGAGCTGAAGTCAGATGCTTAACCAGCTGAGCCATCCAGGTGCCCCAAGTGTAGTTTAATTACATGTGGAATGTTAGAAGGCAAAAATGGAACAAATTAGCCTGTTGGCTATTGCCTTCAAGCTGGAATTAGCTATATTCTTCTTGCTACCAGGTCATCCTGGAAGAAACTTACGTATTTTCCTACAGTTGACACTGAACATTCAGTTGCCGTTTTTCTTCAGAAATCTGGTTGGCTTCGTGATTGTTCACTAGGGATAACCTCTAGAGAGATGTAAAGATCTCCCTGGTTTCATAGAGTCTTACAGAAGAGACCTTAAGCTAATGATATCATTGAATACTGATGATTAATCTTTTGTTCTGACATTCAGAATGCATCAGTAACTCCATTGTTTGAGTACCTGTCACCAGTCTTTGCTAAATTGCAACAAAATCTTGTGAAATACGTATTATTACCACTGTATGTCACAGAAGACACTGAAGCACAAAAAAAACTTAGGATTTGTGATGACTTTGGAGTGACTTTTAGAATTAGAAGTACTCATACTCCTGGTAAGATTACCTAGAGAGAGATAGGGAATTAGCCCAGAGGCACTTGCATGATTTTTCTGTACAATATAAACTGTGTCTGTAGATAATTTATGTGTTTTTATTTGTTTTTATTAACAATTATCCTTTTCCTGGACTAAAAATAATAAAAATATTACAGTCTTAAAACACAGAGTAATGTCTTGGAGATTCTCAGGCAGGTTGCATCTGGCGTTGCATACTTTGTTAGCCATGTGCTTTACTCTTTTTTTTTTTTTTTTTTTTTTTTTTTTTTTTTTTTTTTTTTTTTTTTATTTTTGAGACAGAGAGAGACAGAGCATGAACAGGGGAGGGGCAGAGAGAGAGGGAGACACAGAATCTGAAGCAGGCTCCAGGCTCCGAGCTGTCAGCACAGAGCCCGACGTGGGGCTCGAACTCACGGACCGTGAGATCATGACCTGAGCCGAAGTCAGCCGCTTAACCGACTGAGCCACCCAGGCGCCCCATGTGCTTTACTCTTATGTTGCTTATTCATTTGTTTTCCAGGGGACATTTACTGATGAGAAGTCAAAGGCTTCCCACCACATTTATCCATATCCTTCCTCTCAAGAGGATGGTAAGTTCATTGTTGGTTGTGAACTCATTTCACTAGATTTTAAATTTTATCAGATTTATTTAAACGATATAACCCATGTTTTGCAGAAGAGACTTGCAGTACTAAGTAACTTATACAGATTATTTAAATGTAGTTTTCTGGTTTTTGCTGAATTGGCTAATAAGCAAACTAATTCTGTGATGTCCAACTTTCTAATCATTGGACTTTTATTTATTTCTTTGTCGGTTATATTATCTGGGTGTTAAGTTTAGACATGCTTTATGTATTAACTTTGTTAATGTTTGCTATGTTGCTTGTGTTCTCAAAATTAAGAGACATTGCAAAATGAAAGAACATCTCTGGGGAAGATGGGCTTAGTGGCTGTCTGAACAAGGCCTACTATATTTTAGTTTGGTGAATGTAAAATGGTTTAGATTCTGAACTTTTACTTCTGCTATCCTGAAAGTTGATTTTGTTAGTGGCCTGAGTTCTATAGAGCTATGGAAACTGATTTGTTGAGAAAGAAAATATGAATTAATAAGTTAACCACATTAATTTGAGAAACCCATCTCTTATAGGGCTCAAGTCTTCTGGTTAATATAACCTATCCCTGTAGGACATCTATATAAGAAGCCAAATTATGTCAGGTTTGAGTTGCTAATTGCCCCATGCTCAGTACTTTTTCTTGACCAGTGCAATTGTGCTAGAAGTCAGGAACAAAAAGATTACCAGACAATCCCTATATGTTTGAAAATTAAGAAACGCATTGCCAAGTAATCCATGGGGCAAAGAAGAAATTACAATGGAAGTAGAAAATCTTCAGAATTAAATGATTATGAAATGAATAATAAAGTGCAAGAACATTCTGTTGGATGCAGCTGAAGCTGTGTCCAGAGAGAAATGTATGTTTTTAAATGTGTAAGTTAGGAGGGCACCTGGGTGGCTCAGTCTTTTAAGCATCTCTCTCTCTCTCTCTTTTTTTAAAATTAATTAATTTTAATGTTTGTTTATTTTTGAGAAGAGAGAAAGACAAAGTACAAACCGGGGAGGAGGGCAGAGAGAGGGAGACACAGAATCCAAAGCAGGCTCCAGGCTCTAAGCTGTCAGCACAGAGCCCATTGCGGGGGATTGAACCCACAAGCTGTGAGATCCTAACCTGAGCCAAAGTTGGACGCTTAACTGACTGAGCCACTCAGGCGCCCCTTAAGCATCCACCTTTTGATTTTGGCTTAGGTCATACATCATCTCACAGTTTGCGAGATCGGGCTCTGCGTTGATAGAGTGGAGCCTGCTTGGGATTCTCTCTCTTTCCCTCTCTGCCCTTCCCCATCTTGTGCTCTTGTGCTGTCTCTCTCTCTTTCTCTCTCTCTCTCTCTCTCTCTCTCTCTCTCTATCTCTCTCTCTCAAATAAACATTAAAAAAAAAAATTTATTTATATTTGGAAGAGCACAAGCAAGAGAGGGGCAGAGAGAGGGGGGCAGAGGATCCGAAGCGGGCTTTGCGCTGACAGCAGTAAGCCTGATGTGGGGCTTGAACTAAAACTGTGGGGTCATGACCTGAGCCAAAGTTGGAGGCTCAACCATCTGAGCCACCCAGGTGCCCCAGTAAATAAACATTTTTTAAAAGTTGTATATTAGGAAAGAAAGACTGAAGAATCGGTGGTGCACACATCTTTCTTATGAAATTGGAAAAATAATAGCAAATTAACCTAAAGAAAGAAGGAAATAATTACAGACAAAACTTAATGATGTGGAAAATAAACAGCAAGGTGTGCTCAGCAGTGTCAGAAATGGCTCTCAGAAAAGATCAATGAGGCTATTGCAATTGTTCTGCAAATAAGCAGGGGAAAAAAGAAAACAAAGTAGAGATTGGAAGGGAGACATTGCTACGGATCCTGCAGGTATTGAAAACAATTATAGGAGGTTAGGTTAGGTTTGTTTGGTTGCTTTGTTGCTTCTGTGTTTGGTGTCAAATCTCAGAAACCATTGCCTCATCCAGAGCCCTGAAGTTTTACAACCTGTCTCCTCTTCTGAGACTTTAGTTTTGCTGTTACATTTAGGTCTTTACATCATCAGTGTGATAACTAAAAGTTTGATTTTATTTGTTACAGTCAGAATCTCAGCCCTGTGATTGTTGTGCTTTTATAAAGTGAGAAACTTCATCCTTCATTGTTGAACAGGTTCTCAGCCTTTATCCTGTTAGGTAATAGCCTCTGATCTCCACTAGATGGGGGTAGTGGATTGCTGTGGTATTAGAATACTGATTCTGTTGCAGGCGCTGTTTCTCCAATAAGACTGATAAAAAAACTTTTAGCATGTGAACTTTATGAAAAAAATCACCTTTTACAAAAGATTTGACCTGTAATTGTTATACAAGCTACTAGTGATTCCTTATTGGTGCTGGTTTTATTTTTCTCCTTGGTTTAATACAACCTAGTTTACTGCGTACTGATGCTTGCTTGATATTATCAGTAGTTACAGCACTACAGTTGCTCTAACTACTGATAATATTCTACTCTAGTATAATCAATAAGACAGGATTGTGCACACTGTATGATTTACCTTAGAGTAATGGACTGTCAGGTATTAGCAAAGCCCTGTGCTGGGCTCCCTACATGTATTTGTTTCAGGTAAGTGTGTAGATGATAGCAGTACCAGCCAGAAACACATTAGAAACTGTGTTGTAAAATCCTCAAAAATGCCACATGTCTTTAATGAGGATTAGTCAAAATTTTAAATAAAATGTGTTATTTAATTGGCCTTAATCTTTTGGTAAGATTTTGGGTATGGCATCCTAGAAGAGAATGCAAAATAAGCAAAAGTATAGAGGTAAAAAATTAGGATCCTTTGCTTATTTTTTAGTTAGACTATGTCTTTATTGTTGAGTTGTGAGAGTTATGTATCTGTCCTCAGTTTGGACTAATTTTTACTCATAAAACTGGTTGTTTTATTGGTTCTGTGTAGCTTATAATCATCTCTGGGAAGAATGTGGATTTACATCTTTAACCTTTAGTTAGTTAGTTTTGCTACCAGGCAAACTTCCAAAGGCAATCAGTGCCATAGTTTCTTTCTATCAAAGTCACTTGTAAAAAGGAGGATTTTTTTTTCTTTACCTCCAAAAGCTGCACAACCTTTGAAGATAGTAGTATTCTTTTAAAAAAATTTTTTTTAACGTTTATTTATTTTTGAGACCGAGAGTGACAGAGCATGAACGGGGGAAGGTCAGAGAGAGAGGGAGATACAGAATCTGAAGCAGGCTCCAGGCTCTGAGCTGTCAGCACAGAGCCTGACGCAGGGCTCAAACTCATGGACCGTGAGATCATGACCTGAGCCGAAGTCGGACGCTTAACTGACTGAGCCACCCAGGCGCCCCTAGATTTAGTATTCTAAAGGGCAGCTCTTATTAGTTAAGAGTCAGTATATTCTGTCACTACATAGTGAGTTATGAAAGACCCACTGACCTCTTCACTTTTTCCTTGGCCATTTTGAGAAATCAGGCTAAGGAACAGTGCTTGATTTCTTCCTTTTCACATTTCTTTCAAGATAGTCGGGTGAGCAATTGGATGCTTGAAAAAGAACACAGGTACTGGACACTCAGCTGGCTTTTGATCTCAGGGTTGTGAGTTTGAGCCCCATATTGGGTGTGGAGCCTACTTAAAATAAAGCGCGCGCGCGCGCGCACACACACACACACACACACACACACACACACACACACACACACACACACACACACACACACACACACACACACACACACAGAGGTATGTGGTCTTTCATGCCTTTAGTCAGTGAACCTGGGGCTATTTCTTGTTGAAATTGGCAACGTAAAGCCCCTTTTACTTAGCTGGTTTCACTTTGTTGTTCTATTTTGCTATTTCTTGGGTTTCAAAGGGCTTACTTGACTAGTTCCCTCTGAGCAATAGAAACAGGTTATTAAGCTAAATTTAGACTACCAAAGAAACAGACACACAAGTGCTGAAATGTAGATATAATCCAACTATGGTTAAAATCAGTAAGAATCATCCTGTTGTATAAATTTGCACCTATCTTTGCTAAGGAGGCTCAAAATAAAAATATCCAATGTGATCATACTGCTTACATTGTTGATGGAAGGACTAAATTAACAGGATGCCATTAAAAAATAGTAAAAATAGTATTGATAAAAGCTTTGGTGTAGCACTGTGTGAAGTTCTATAGGATGCCAGAGGCAGTAAATATAGAGGAAGAAGACCATGTAGTAAAACTTCCATCAAGGACATGAAGCATGACTTACACCTTGAAAAATGTACAGTAATTGTAAAGCTTCACACAAAAAGGGAGGAGAGGTTTTACATGGAAAATATGGCAGTAAAGAATATATAGTGTTCATGATTTAGATGGAATTGCAGACAAACAGGCAGGTGGAAAGGAGGAGAGTATTTTACTGTGTGGACAATTGGATTTGCTAAGAGCAATGGATAATAGGTCTAGAATCTAGTAATTCTGAATACATGGCTGAAAAACTTCTCCTTAATATGATAGACACAATGTTTAATTATGAGAAGAATTTTTTGGAGTTTGCTTACTAGCAAACTAAAAATTCTAAGTAGAAATTTAGTTAAAATAATAATTTATTCATTTATTTTGTCAGCCCGACTAAAGTATTTTCTTTTTCCCTTTCAGAAGAATGGTTGAGACCGGTGATGAGAAAAGATAAGCAGGTGTTAGTGCACTGGGGGTTTTACCCAGACAGGTAATGTCGACATGTCCTAAGATATGGGACAAAGATTTTTAATCTCCGTGCAAGCCAGACTTATTTACATGTAGTTTCACTTTCTCAATAATGACAACTTTGTTTCATTGCTTGATCTCACTTTTTGAGTATTACTGATTTTTCTTATTTATGGAACTCAGTTCAGTCACATGGCTTTATTTATCTTAATAAACTGATAGGTTGCTGCATTTGCCAAAGCACCCCTTTAGCACAGTATTAGAATGCTAATCTAGATTTGTTTCCTTCAAGAAATGAATTTTTCTCTCTGATATTTTATGACTATTTTATTTATTTTTTCAAAAAAAATATTCATGCCATACTATAAGGGATGAATTATTTTATGTCTAAAGAGGAGACTTTTTCTTCTTGGCAGAAATTTATTTCCCTAGTGTTATTATTACTTTGAAATAATCATAACTCATAGTGTGTTTCAGTTTTCAAATATAAAGAGTATTGTAAGGTAGCTAGATGTTAGTGATGTTAATGAAAATGGTGGTCCTTGTTTAATTAGTATTACACCTACATAGGATGCTTCCGAATAAAGGATAACCTTCCATGAAGTTCACGAGAGTCTGTCCATTGTGGGTTTTTTATGTGAAACCAGTCTTCCTTCACCTATACCCCCATCCACTTTTAGCCTTCTCATATTATTGGAAGCAAATCCCAAATATAACATTTTAATAGTAAATATTTCAATATGTATTTCTAAAAAAACAAGGCCTCATTTAAAAAAAAAATGGTAAAGTAATATTACTGTCAAATCTAAAAAAAATTAACAGAATTCCTTAATACAGTGTCCTCTATCCAGTCGTTATCATATAAGTGATACATATGATTACTTTATAGATTGATATTTGTTGAAAGTAGAATTCAGCCACATTTTGTGATTCATTGATATATTTGTAAGCACATTTTTCAGTTTCTAGGTTGTCTCTGTCTTCCCTACTCCCACCACAGGCATTGTATTATTGTATTATTTAAGAAACCAGGTTCCTTGTCCTGTAAAGTTTACCACACTGTGTTTTTTTTTTTTTTTTTAATGGCATCACTGTGGTGTTTTTGAACATGTTTCTCCTTTCTCTGTATCTCCTTTAAATTGGTAGTTAGATCTAGAGTTGATCAGAGTCCATTTCAGTTTATGGAAGGAATAAGACTATTGCATAGGTTTGTATTTTTCATCATCAAACGATGACACATTATGTCTGGTTATGCACTCTTTTTAAGTTAATCTATTTGAGTCTCTCTATTTTACTTGTAAAGGTATTTTTGAAGAAGAAAATAATGTTTTTAGATACGTTCAAAATTTGAGGAGTATATGCACAGTTTTCGTATAGGTTGAGTTGATTAGGACAAGATTAAGTCAGTTTGCTAATCAGCCTCTTCTGAACCAGAATTGATTACTTTAAATGAACTAACAGGTTTTTAATATTTAAATGCTTTCTGTAAAACATTTCTAGTTTTGAGGCATCAAATAGTCCTTGGTACTGTTAAACCTTCCAAGGGTGTAGGAAGTCTTAATAGGAAATCAATTTGCCCTTTGAAACATTTAGGTGGAAACTCGAATTTGTGATGACAAGCTTCGTAAGTATACAGTTGAAATAAATTTTATAATAATAAGAGATGTTAAATATATAACAGTAAAAACATGTTAGCCTGTTTGCCAACTTTTTCTTTATGTATCACGTAAGATAAAGCATCTAGTGTGAGTCTTGTCTTCTCAAAGGGCCTTGTTCACTGTTCACTTTCTTTATTAACTCTACAGCAGTCCCCCTGACACCCTCATCTGCAGGGGATTTGTTTTAAGGCTCCCAGTGGATACCTGAAACCATGGATAGTACCAGACTTTTCATATGCTATATTTTTTCCTATATGTACATACCTAAGGTAAAGTTTAATTCATGAATTAGGCACAGTGACAGATTAACACCAATAACTAATGATAAAATAGAATGATTGTAACAATATACTGTGATAGAAGCTACGTGAGTGTGGTCTCTCTTCTGTCAGAATACCTTATTGTACTGTATTCACCCTTCTCGTGATGATGTGAGATGATAAAATGCCTTCGTGATGAGTTGAAGTGAGGTGAGTGACACAGGCACTGTGGTGTTGTCTTAGGCTGCTGTCGACCTTCTGATGAAAGGTCAGGAGGAGGACCATCTGTCTTCAACCATGTTTGACTGGATAACTGAAAGTGTGGAATGGGGGACCCTGGGAAGGGGGGATTGCTCGAGTTTGTGCCTTTCTATCTTTATAATGTTTTGAACTCAAGACTTTGAGAGAATGTAAGGTTATCAGACTCATCATTGTAATCTTTACCTGGTATAATTCATAACTTGGCAAAGGAACTTTTTTCTCCAACTCATGTTTTAAGTGTTACTGGGAAACTTACCAGAGTGCTGTGAATAGGTATGTAGAGCTGTGCTTGTTCCGGACGCTTTTGAATTAACTTCTGAGTAGTAGCTACAGGAAGCCCATGCTTGTTACCATACTTGTGTTTCATTTAGGTATCTCTTGGTTTTACAGTTAATTTGTTGGCTAGTATAGTAGCATTGACACAGTTTCAGTTTGGTAGATAATTCTATGCTCATTTCAAAATTGTGGAGGAGCAGGAGGAGTACTTGAAAGAGCGAACCCGTTGAGCAAAGAGATGTGAAGATAGGAGGGTGAGCCATATGATTCCTGGGTAGTGAGGAGCCTCTGTAAAGGGCTTGAAGTGGCCACTGCCTCTGGCATGTTTAAAGAACCCAACAAACGCCCACATGCCTTGACTATAACATGAGTGAGGGGAGAGTATTAGGAGATGGACTCAGAGTGACAGTCACAGGACTAGATCATGAGGCCTTGGCAATCCAGTAAGGATTTTGGCTCTTACTTTGAGTTGTGTGGGAGTTGTTGGAACATTTTGAGTACTGATAATGTGGACTGACTTGATTTTCAAAAGGATCACTGTGGCTGCTTTATGAAAAATTGACTCGGGCTTTGGGCAGAAGTAGAAGGGTGAGAAGTAGATACTGGGCATATTTTGAAGGTGGAACAAACTATAGAAGTTGCTGATGGTTGGATTATAGGAGGTGATTGAGAGTGAAGTCAGGGATGTCTCCAAGGCTTTTGGCCAGAACAGCTGGAAAGATAGAGTTGGCATTTACTGAGATGGAGATGATTGCCTAGGGCACGTTATTGAGGTCAGGATGGCATTATGTGTTTAAATTCAGTGTTAGTTTTGAAAGCCTTAGTAAACATGTAGGTAGATACAGAATTGGCAGTTGGATTCATGAGTCTGGCATTTAGAGAAAAGGGCAGATGAGTATATAGTTGAAGCCATAGGGTTGTGTGAGATCAAGAGAATGAATAGACAAGAAAGGGATTGTTTCAAAAACTGAAACTTAGGACTTTCCAGTGTTGAAGAGGTTTGGGAGAAGAGGAGAAACTGGCATTGAAGACTGAGGAGAGGCTGGTGACTAGAAGGAACATTGGAGGATACTGCTGTCTTAGAGGCCAAGTGAGGGAAGTGGCTTTGAGGAGAGAGTAATCTACCCATTAAAATTCTGTGCACTGAGGCTTGAACTTTGGATTTAACAGTGTCAGGATCACTACAGACCTCTACAGAAGAGTTTTTTTGTCAGAGTAGCAGAAACAAAAATGTATGAAATATTATGTTACTAGATCCTAATAGTATTTCTAAAATATATTTTTACCTTTTGATGAAAAGTCTTTTTAGTGAATGAATCTGAATTCTAATCTGTTTTTCCCTTTTCTCATTTCCTTTGTAGCTATGATACTTGGGTCCATAGTAATGATGTTGATGCAGAAGTTGAAGATCCCCCAATTCCGGAAAAGCCATGGAAGGTGAAAGATCCCTTTTTAAAAACATTCTTGTGTGGGGCGCCTGGGTGGCGCAGTCGGTTAAGTGTCCGACTTCAGCCAGGTCACGATCTCGCGGTCTGTGAGTTTGAGCCCCGCGTCGGGCTCTGGGCTGATGGCTCAGAGCCTGGAGCCTGTTTCAGATTCTGTGTCTCCCTCTCTCTCTGCTCCTCACCCGTTCATGCTCTGTCTCTCTCTGTCCCAAAAAAATAAATGTTGAAAAAAAATTTAAAAAAAAACAAAAAAATAAAAAAATAAATAAAAACATTCTTGTATAACTTAATAGCATTTCTCAGCTCTTTTCCATAACTGTGTTTCAAGGAAATACAGAATGAGGATCTTTCTTGTCATCCTATTAAGATATCCATGGCTACGAGATAGTGGTGCTTGAGGAGACCCCAGAATCCAGTTACCTTGTGGTTTGAGACAATTGAGAGCGGCGCGTGAGGAGTACGGTTGAACATTGGTCGTGTCATTTAGGAAGGCTGGAAACCGTGTTCATGGCTCTTATAATAGTCATTTCTATTCTAGGCATTGTAATAGTAATAATCCACGTATTAACTCTTATTTTCTTGCCTTTTTAAAGAATGTTTATTTTTGAGAGAGAGAGGCAGAGGAGAGAGAGAGGGAGACAGAAGATCTGAAGTTGGCTTGCACTGACAGCAGAGAGCCCCATGCACATGGGCTCAAACTCATGAACTGTAAGATCATGACCTGAGCTGAAGTTGGATGCTTAACCAGCTGAACTACCCAGGCACCCCATTTTTTGGCTTTTAACATGGAAGTAATTCTGAAAGTTGCAAGAATAATACAAAACAAAATGCTGCTTTATGCTCTTCTTCCAGATTCGCCTATTTTTCGTTATTTAGGATATTTAAATTTTTTTTTTTAACGTTTATTTATTTTTGAGACAGAGACAGAGCATGAACGGGGGAGGGTCAGAGAGAGGGAGACACAGAATCCGAAACAAGCTCCAGGCTCTGAGCTGTCAGCACAGAGCCCGACGTGGGGCTCGAACTCACGGACCACGAAATCATGACCTTAGCCGAAGTCGGCCACTTAACCGACTGAGCTACCCAGGCGCCCCCTAGGATATTTAATTTTTGAAGCAATAGTAATACCTGATACAGAGCCTATATTTTGTTTGCACCAAATGTCCCATTGATAAATTTTTTTTAAATTGTTTTTAAAATTTATTTTAATGTTTTTATTTATTTTTGAGACAGAGCATGAGCAGGGGAGGGGCAGGGAAAGAGGGAGACACAGAATCCAAAGCAGGCTCCGAGCTGTCAGCACAGAGCCTGACTCGAACTCACAGACTGTTAGATCATGACCTGAGCTGAAGTTGGACGCTTAACCAACTGAACCACCCAGGCACCCCGGTAGAGTAAGCTTTATACGGAGTCTCTTCCCTGATCCAGGATCCAGTTCAGGATCACACATTGCATGTAGTTGTTAGATCTTTTTAGTCTACTTTAATGTTGAAGTTTCAGCCGTTTTCTTCCATGATACTAGCAGTTTTGAAATGTATAAGCTAGATTTGTGTGTGTGTGTGTGTGTGTGTGTGTGTGTGTGTGTGTGTGTTTTTAGAATGTCTGAATCTGAATTTATATGGATATTTTCTCGTTATTATATTCAGGCTATGCATTTTTGGCTGCAAAACTACTTCAGTGGTATTCTGGTCTCAGTGTGTCACATCAGGGGGCATGTGTTTTGATTTTTCCCATTATGGCTCATTGTTAAGGTATTATCTGCCTGGTTTTCCCACTGTAACATTACCATTTTTCTTCTTGAAATTAAAAATATGCAGAAATACTTTGACATTATATAAATATCCTTTTCTTCATCAAATTTGTATCCCTAAGTTTGCTCACTTGTAAGTAATTCCTGCCTGATTGAATTAGTTACTACTAGTGGTTTTCTCACTCTGTCCATTCTATGCTTGTTACTGACATTTTACATGGTAATGAGCTTTCTTTTCTCCCTCTACATGTATCTGTAGTCTCACTATGCAGTCGTGGAGCAGTGACATTATTGCCATTCTTCACTGTGATGAATGGTCCAGAATTTGGCCAGTGGGAACTCCTTTAAGCTGCCTCCTGTGACTTTTTGGTATTATTCGATTCATTTATGCATATTTCCTATTTTCTGGGACAAAAAGAATTTCCAGCCTCTTTTTGCAGTTCTATATCCCAGTCCTGGAATCAGTTATTTTTGCAGGGAGATCTCACTTTCCATGAGAAATGGTAATTATACATAGTTTTTATTGGCTGTTTTATGTGGTATGCTGAACACTTAAAATATTAGATGTTACACCTGATTCAACCTAGTTTGAGTTGTGTGACGTTCAGAAAGACTTAAAGCTTCAGATTTCATATGAGGAAGCTGGAATTAACAATTTAGTCTTTTTTTGAAACCCTTTTATTTGGAAATTTTTCAAACTTAAATTGCAAGAGTAAGAATAGTAGGTGGCATACCTGTACACCCCTTATCCAGATTTGCCTATTTTTTACATTTTACTCCCATTCTGACCTATCACTTCTCTGTGTGTTTTTATTTTTTATTCATAACCTTTTGAGATAAAGATGCATATATCACAGGCCTTTAAGACATGTTTGTGTTTCCTAAGAATACGAGATTCTCCTACATGAGCACATTGCGGTTGTCAAATTCAGTAAAATTTAATGTTGCCACAATACATTACTGTCTGTATTCCAGTTTTGTCAGTGACCCAAAAAAGTTTTTTGTAGCATTTTTTTCTGCTACAGAATACTGTTTAATATCAGCTGTTACAGTAAAATATCCTGTCTCTTTCGTTCCCTTTAACCTGAAACATTATCCTGGTATTTCCTTGCCTCCTAAGACATTTTTGAATTTGAAAAGAATATTTCTCATTTGGCATTTGTGATCTTTTTTAATGGTTAAATCAGGTTCTGTATTCTAGCCAGAATATTGCATAAGTGATGTTGTGTCCTTCTCAGGGCGTCATACTGGGAGGCATGCCTTGTCCATCTGTTACTGGGTGGTGACACTGATCACCCAGTTAAGGTGTGCTGTGATGGATCCACTGTATAGTTCCTTTTTTTTTTTTTTTCACTTGCAATTTATAAGCAATCTGTAAGAGATTCTTTTAGACCATACAGATATCCTGCTTCCCATCAAAATTCTCCATTCGTCACCCAGATTTAGCATCAACTTGAAATTCTTGCCTGAGCCAATCTTTTCTTTGATGATTGCACAGTGATAATTTTCTATTCCAGCCCTTCCTCCATATTTACCAGTTGGCTTTCAGAGTTCTATAAGCAAGAGCCCTTCCTCTCCCCTTATTTATTTGTTACCAGTATGGATTTATGGAGTTCTCGTTTTTCAGTGGTCAGTAACTTATTTAATTTAATTATTTTCATGCTGAAATTATTTTGCATTTGTCTACACAGGGAAGAATTGTCTAGTCCCAATTTCTAGTGTACTCCCTATGAGAAATTGTATTGGATAATTCCTGTTATAAGCTAGGTCTGTGGTTTAAATATCTGTATGTATATAACATTCACAAAACCCATCATTTTATTAATTCTTACTCAAAAACATTAACAAAACAAGAGAAGTTGCCATGTAAAGGGCTTGTAAGAATCCTGAATCTGATTTTCACTTCTCCACCCGCTCCCCTACCTTGGCTATTCCTGAAAGGTTTCTAGAAAGCACCTGTGTACTTGACGCTCTGTAAATGTTCTCTTTCGTCATTCCTTAGAATTTTGTCAAATGCATAAACATAAAGACATCCTTCATGCCTAGAGCAATGGCTAGCTTTGGCCTATTGCTGTTGAATTTTTATCAGTGGTTTTCATCAAGATAAAGATGACATGAGTAGTGAAATAAGCCAAACAGAGAACAGTAAATACTGCATGATAGTGCTTTTATATGGAAGTTCTAAGTTCTATGGAAGTTTTATATGGAAGTTCTAAGTTCTAAGGTAAAACATGGTGACTATAGTTGATAACACTAGTGTATAATTGGAATTTGCTAAGAGAATAGAACTTAAAATGTTCTCACACACAAGGAAGATAAGTATGTAAGGTGATGGATATGTTAATTAATAGATGGGAGGATCCTTTCTCAGTGTATATGCATATCAAATCACCATAATGTACACCTTGAATATCTTACAATTTTATTTTTCAGTTATAACTGAATAAAGCTGAAATAACAATGACATGATTATCAAATATAAGGGTCTTAGTTATCAAAACTTGAGGGGCACCTGGGGGGCTCAGTCAGTTAGGCATCCAACTTCGGCTCAGGTCATGATCTCATGGCTCGTGAGTTTGAGCCCCGTGTCCGGCTCTGCTGACAGCTCAGAGCCTGGAGCCTGCTTCTGATTCTATGTCCCAGTCTGTCTTTGTCCCTCCCCCTCTGTCTGTCTGTCTCTCTCTCTCTCTCTCTCTCTCTCAAAAGTAAATAAACATTAAAAAAATTAAAAATCTCAGTCTATGCAAAACCAATGATGCTTTATTACTATACTCAGTAACATGAAATAAAAATTAGAAATGGTTAAGTTGCCATTCACAGGTCTTTAATGGTCTCGTTTTTAAACTCTTCTATGCAGTTGAGGCTTTGAGAATAAGTCAGCTTCTTTTGTTTTGAATACTTTATACAAACTGTAGTGATTTATTATTTATATAGATACACATGCTTCATTGTGGTTTTAGGTTCATGCAAGATGGATTTTGGATACTGATGTTTTCAATGAATGGATGAATGAGGAGGATTATGAGGTGGATGAGAACAGGAAGCCTGTGAGTTTTCGTCAGCGAATTTCAACAAAGAATGAAGAGGTATTTGGTTTGGTACCGTTTTTCTCCTCTAGCTGTTTCTTCTCTGGGCCTCATTGTTGTCAGATTTTCACTAATAAACTCTCACATACAGCCCAAGGTGTATCAGGTATATTATATAAAAAGTTACCAAATGGCCATACAGCCGTCTCAGGAGCTGGCATTCCCACAAAAGGGGCAAGGAAGTCTCAAAGGGTCATTGAGATTTCAAGTGACGCATGCAGTGTGGCAGCATTCCAGCTGATTTTTCTGTGTAATCTCTACACCCAGCACAGGGCTTGAATTTAACCCCAAGATCAGGAGTCGCATGCTCTACCAACTGAGGCAGCCAGGCGCCCCTAGTGTAGTTGATTTTCCTTTCTAGATCTGAGTTTTAATTTTGTGAACCAAATATTATCACGGGATAATTTAATTTAGGTGTTGATTTTTCAAGGGAAAATTGGTTTTGTCTTAGTAGTTTTCAATAGCTTTGTTGCCATATACATACACAGTAGGTAGTACAAAGTATAGGCCTTCAAGGTCTCAAAGGTATGGTTCAGCCCTTTTTTAAGGTGGGAGGATGTGAGATTTATTACTCTTTAAAGTGTTAAGAAGCCCAACCACCTAATATTTATCCATGATTCTTGAGAAGCCACAACTTGGGAGGTAGATGCGTCACGAGAGGGAGGGGGTTCTGAGAAGAAGGTTTGGATGTGTTGGTCTGTTGGCTGATGACCCGCTTCGGTAAGATTCTCATTCCCTTTTACTGGGGACACATAAAGTTTTTGCTTTTTGTTTTGTATTTTATTTCTTTGAAAAATTGTTGAGACAGAAATACTTTTAACTGTTCACTTAGAATGTACAGTTTTTTCATATCTCTTTTCAGCTGACACTTTCTTACTAAAACTCTTTGTCATGCTGTGTGTATTTTTTTAAGAAAAATTTTTTAAAAGTGGGTCTTTTTCGAGGTGCCTGGGTGGCTGAGTCATTTAAGTGTCTGACACTTGATCTCAGATCAGGTCTGGATCTCACGGTTGTGAATTGAAGACCCACGTTGGGCTCTGCAGTCGGCATGAAGCCTACCTAAAAGAAACTGGGACGTTTTCATAGCCTTTGATTTTTAATTTGTCCTTATTTGCTTTGGAATTTGACTTAAATCTTATTTTTTTTTATTTAGCGCCCCCCCCCCCATATGCTTACATATTTGTTTTCCTTTACTGTATTTCCAACCAAGTCTTTTTTGTCACTAGGAATAGTCTCATTTCTACATCACATTATTAAACAGGTCTGCCCATAGCCATTTCTGTTCAGATTTAGATGGTTTATTTATTAATTTATTCACTTATTTTTAGGGAGATTCTGTAAAAATCGATTTAAAAAGAATTTTTTTTAAACATTTATTCATTTTTGAGAGAGAGAGCATGAGCAGGGAAGGAGCAGAGAGAGAGGGAGACACAGAATCTGAAGCAGGCTCCAGGCTCTGAGCTGTCAGCACAGAGCCTGACGCGGGGCTCGAACTCCCCAACTGCGAGATCATGACCTGTGCTGAAGTTGGATGCTCAACCGTCTGAGCCATCCAGGTGCCCCAAGATTGATTTAATCTGTATTTTTAGGGGCGGGCACCAGGCTGACTACGTTGATAGAGCAAACAACTCTTGATCTTAGGGTCACGAGTTCAAGATCCACGTTGGACGTGGAACCTACTTAAATGTTAAGGGGTGCCTGGGTGGCTCTTGTGATTGAACATCTGACTCTTGATTTTGGCTCAGGTCATGATCCCAGGGTCGTAGGATTGAGCCCTGTGTCAGACTCTGCACTGAGCACGGAGGTTGCTTAAGATTCTCTCTCCCTTTGCCCCTTTCTCCCACTTGTGCTGTCTTTCTCTATCTAAAATTAAAAAAACAAGAAAACGTTAATAGCTCTTTTTAAAAATTTAACTTCAGGAGTGTCTGGGTGGCTCATTTGGTTAAGCGTCTGGCTCTTGGTTTTGGCTCAGGTCATGATGTCACACTTTGTGAGCTTGAGTCCTGCATTGGGCTGTGCTGACAGTGCGGAGCCTGCTTGGTATTCTCTTTCTGTCTCCTCTCTAAAATAAATAAATAAAATTTAAAAACCTGGGTGGCTCAGTCATTTAAATGCCTGACTTCAGCTCAGGTCATGATCTCATAGTTCGTGAGTTTGAGCCCCACATCAGATTCTGTGTCTCCCTTTCTCTGACCCTCCCCTGCTGTGCTCTCTCTGTCTCTCCCTCTCTCTCAAAAATAAATAAACATTAAAAAAAATATTTTTTAATGTTCAGCTTCAGACTTACTGTACAGTGTGTGCAGTTTAGATTTTTTCTAAAGCTTCTTGTATAGCTCTGTACAATGACTCAGATTTCCATTTGATGCTACAGAGCTTCTGAAAGGAAGCAGATAGTTGTAAGGAGTATGATGGTACCAGAGATAATGTTTAATTGATGTTTTAATCTCTGGTTTTTTTATTTTTATTTTTTGCACCTCAAATATAGTACTTTGGGTCATCTTAGGTGTTAACTCTGTATTGTCTGTTTTATGAAATCCATAGTTATCATCTACAGGTTGACTTTTGTATATTGATATGTGTATCCTGCACCTGCTGAACTCTTTAGCTCTGAAAGTGTTTTCTAGATTCCTTAGGCTTATCTATGTATAAGATCATGCCAGCTGCAAATAGAGATATTTGTACTTCTGTAGATTGACTTTTAAATCATAAATTGCAATCTTATTTAACATCTTTTATGTCATAAAATTTTCTCATATTCCTTTTACTGATGTGTCAGGAGCAGTTTCAGAGACATTTCCACAAGATTATTCACCAGTCTTTGTATATTATTAATCTAATAGCATATGTTTCATATTCTTCAGTAGTTGTTGAAAGTGCTTTTCCCATCTGGAAATAATGTGAACAGGAACATATTTTAGTTGTGCAGGATTTGGGCATGTCTGTTTTGTAGCATAGTTTGAATACTTGGGGGATGGTTTTGATATTTCCATTGGTGCTGCATCACCTGGAGGGTTAGGAGAAAGTCTTGATGGTCCAAGACACTTAATGATGTTCCTTTCAATTGCTCTGAGCTAGGTGAAAACCCACCTTGGGCAAAGGTTTGTTGAAATGGAGGAGTCCGAAAAGCTGGCTGATATTCATTTCCATTTACTTCTTCCTAGCCAGTCAGAAGTCCAGAGAGAAGAGATAGGAAAGCATCAGCTAATGCTCGAAAGAGGAAACATTCGCCTTCCCCTCCACCTCCAACACCCACAGAATCCCGGAAGAAAAGTGGAAAGAAAGGGTAAGAACTGCAGAGTGACTCAGAAGGCATTAAAACAAACTCTAAAGGATGTTCCACATTTTTACATTTATACTGGAAGTTTTGCTCAAGGGAAATTGGCTGACTTACATTTATACTGGAAGTTGGCTGACTTTGGCAGCTCATCTTGTCAGATGTTATCTGATGGCCATCTTACGTTGTATTTATGCTAAGGCACCTTGTGTTCAAGGAGATCTGTACAGTGACATAATCATAGTCTAATTAACATCCAACACCACACATAGTTAGAATTTTTTCTTGTGATGAGAACTTTTAAGATTTACTCTTTTAGCAACTTCCAGATACACAATATAGTGTTAACTGCAGCCACTATACTGTATATTACACCCCCAGGATTTATTTATTTTATAACTGGAAGTTTATACTTTTTCACCAGCTTCACCCATTCTCCACACCCCTTGCCTTTGGCAACACCAGTGTATTCCCTGTATGATTTTTTTTCCTAGATTCCACATATAAGAGAGATCATATGGTATTTATTTTTCTCATAGTTATTTAACTTAGCAAAATGACCTCAAGGTCCATTCCTGGTGTCCCAAGTAACAGAATTTCCTTTTTTTTTATGGCTGGATAATAGTGCGTCATACACACACACACACACACACACACACACACACACACTTATTTAACTTTATATTCCACAGAAAATATACTACGATATCTAATTTGTATTTAAAATATAGCCACACCAATTCCATGATGAAATTCAGAGAGAATCCATTTTTCTCTCTCTGGGGTAGCTGTGGGAAAGCAATAAACCTTGGGCTTCTGGATTGGAGCTTTGGTTCACAGCTTAGTGAGAGTGGAAACCATGTACAGAATCTTAAAACTGAAAGGGATCTTTGAAGTATCATAAACATTTTTTTCTTAGGAAGCAGGGATTGAGGTTCAGGGTAGAGAGGTGACTTTTCCAAGGTCACATAGAGATTTTTGCTTAGAGTCAGGATTCAAAGCTGGACGCTCAGCTTCCTGTTCCTGTATCCTTTCAACTAAATTCTGTCACCATCAAGGTCTGAGGGTAGATTGTTTGGCTCTTCGTCTTTCTTTCCTTTTCCTCTTCCCCTCTCTCTTCCTTCCCCTTTCTTCATCTCCTTTGTAAGATGGCCATCTGATGTTGGCACCTTGAATACAGTCTTTTTTCTGTATCTAATTGCATATTGAGCAATGTGGCTGGTAAGGAATTTAAGAAATTATATATTCACTAATTTCACCAAGAAATTAGTGTCTCTCATTTTACCACCTGTCCTATTTGTGATCAGAATGACTCCTAGAGGAAATGAACCTATGTCCATTTCATGTTCAACGTAGTGCCTTGTTCAGGGCATCACATTTGTACTTAGTAAATCTTGCTTGAGTGGGGATTTTGGTTTCTGTTGAATAAGTTGTTTTGGGGATTAAGTGAGACTTTAAAGCCCCTGTGCAGGTTCTGGCCTGAAGTAGATACTTAATAAATGGCAGATAATACTTCACATTTATATATTAAGTAGATACTTAATTTCAGGCTTGTCTGGCTCAAAATAATTTTCGTCTTAGAAAATGACAGCTTGCAAAATTTATGCTTTCATGTGACTATAAATTGGTTAAATTTTTGGCTGTTGACTGGACTGTAAAGATATATTTTGTATCTTCTTTCCACTAGCTTCCTCTTACTGACTCTGTGGCTAAATTAGCGTTTCTTTATGCCCAGAACATGCCTTGAATCATGTTATTTCTTGAAGGGTAGGGTTATCTGAACCATTGTTAACTATGCCTGGAAGCTTTTAGGGATGTGAAAAAGGTCTAAGTTTTGTCATTTTGTCAAATATACTGTGATATAAAAAACTCACAAAAATAGATTTTTCTTTAGCTATTATGAGAGTAACCTTATTTCTTAAATCTCTAATCTGAACCTTATGGTTGATGTGCAGAGAATTCAGAGCTCCCTGATAGCCCTGTGAAGAAAGCCACACAACTTTGCCAGGTGTTCCTGGGCCTGAAATCGATGTACCCTTCTTCCCACTTAAGGGCTGAGGTGCAGTGCCAGGACACCAGTGGTCACCAAACCAAGACATGGTGTCTAGGAGGCTCACAGTGATCCTCCCCTCTGAGTGTAAAGCCCACCAAATTGAGTCTCCAGATAGATGTGTGTATGTCCTTCAACTGAATACATCTGTCCCCTCATGAGCTGAGCAGGCATTTGAGTTTCATTGTAAGTTCCCTTTAACAAAAAAACACATTTATTTTCCTAATGTTTGTTTTATTGATCTTCCCTGCTTCTTTTCTTCCTTTTTTTTTTTTTTTAAACATATTTTATCTCCCTGCCACCTTTAGGTTCATACACTTTTAAACAATTGTCATGGAGTTTTTATTAAAATTTTTAAAAATATTTTTGCCTATGTATCTGATTCTAATCTATTCCAGTATCTTTTCCTTCTTAGAAGAGAACTTTGCTCACTCTCTCAGCAGTGTGAGGACTCGTGCTGGCCCACTGTGTGTTCCCATCACTTCTTTCTCCACTGCTTCTCACTTGTCAGTGTGCTCAGGGTTCCTGCTTATTCCTCCCCAGAACAGGTTATTTCTTTTCTTAATACCTTTATGCCTTCATTCATCATCCTGAAATATTGCCTACTTTTTGGTGAATTGTTAGAGTTCCAAGTTAGCTTAACTGTCCCTTCAATCCTGATTAACTCTTATTTTCTTGGAATATTTAATTATTTATTTATTTATTATAAAAAATATATTTTTATTTCTCTGTGTTGGTACACATCATGTTATTGGAGGTTGATGATAATTTCTGTCTTGTATCCTGTGTAATTCCTCAAGGTAAGGAATTATTCCATTCTTGTTTGAACCCTAATCTGCTTTCTGGAATATGTTAGTTTTGAAATAAACTAAAGAAAGAGCAATAGCAATTTTTACAAAAATAAAAAATAAAAAAATAGTACCATCCTAGGTGATTTTACTTTGCAGTTCCTGATATTTGGATGATACAAAGAGCTAGGAAAATATGGTTGTACGTATCTTTGAGAAAATTTCTTATGTGATTGTTTATGATGTGAGATAAAGTATGTACCGTATATCCTTAGCAGATGTTCTTTTATTACACTAATTTAAAACCCTTTAGGATGCTGTCTGCAATTTGTATCGTAGGATTTCTGTACTCATTTCTTATGCCCAATAACCTTTATTTTCCTTTTGGCTGGTTAGATGTAATTTGGGAATGTACCTACTTTTTTTTTTTTAATTTCTATTTGTCTTTTAAAGCAATTCTCAGCATAGATTATAACAATGAGGTAAAGCCTTTGAAATTGTCTGCTAGGAGTAGCTATAGTCATTCTTATTTACATATTTACATACCTTGTGTGTTTTAGCCAAGCTAGTCTTTATGGGAAGCGCAGAAGTCAGAAAGAGGAAGATGAGCAAGAAGATCTTACCAAGGACATGGAAGACCCAACACCAGTACCCAACATAGAGGAAGTGGTACTTCCAAAAAATGGTTTGTATTCTTCTGTCTCGACTATGAGAGTATTAGTGTGATTTAATCATTCTTAGCAGTGCTTTGGAATGAATCATTTCTTGCTCTGTGTCCCTGGTTACCAACTTTCAAGGTCAAAATGTTTATGAAATTACATGGTTCACAATCTTTTGGTGTACTTTTGCTGCTTATTGAGAAAAACACTGTGACTAAAAAGTTCTCTAAATTTAGCAATACTTTAAAATTAATGGTTCTTGGGGCGCCTGGGCGGCTCAGTCAGTTAAGCGTCCGACCTCAGCTCAGGTCGTGATCTCACAGTCTGTGAGTT